CCGTTTCGTGGATTAATACCTGCAGTGTTGGGAAGAAGCCCTTAACTGGGTATTAATTGCTCACTTAAGGGGCCTCAGTTAGCAATTTGTGTGTGTGTGTGTGTGTGTGTGTGTGTGGAGCTTCCTGCTCCTTGTTTGTGGAAACATCAAAGATGGGAACAGGAGTAGGCCATTCACCACCACGAGCCTGATCTGCTGTTGAACATGATCATGGCTAATCAACAAGCTCGATACCCTAACCTCCACCCTCCCCTATATCTCTGAGCTCTTGTGGCTCAAAGCAATAGCTACCTCCCTGAAAACTCAACGTTTTGGCTTCAACCACATTCTGTGGTAGTGAATTCCACAGGCTCACTACAGTCTGGGTGAAGAAATTTCTCATCATCTCAGTCCTACCGCATACCCTTTTAAATTATAACCCATAGTTCTGGACTTCCCGCACCATTTGGATACATCTTTCCTGCATCTAACTTGTCTAGTCCTGTTAGAATTTTTATAGGTTTGAGATTTCCCTCCCACCATCACATCATTCTCCTGCCTGGAGTGTAGAATAGGGATGAACCGATATCCTGCTTCCACCCAGAGTAAATATCTCCATTCTAAACGATTCCACATTGAATATCTTAAAGCTACTTTATGGTCAGTGAAGAACAGTTTTGAAGTGTTGTAACATAAGTGAGACAGCAAATTTGTACACAAGCACACAAATAGTAATATGCAATCAGCCACATGATCTGTTTTACAGCCTCTTGGCTGAGGGATGACTATTCCCTGGGACACGGGGATAGGACTGTAACAGGAGGAATGTAATGGTAAGCAAACCCCATTGATATAAATGTTTCAGTGCAATCATTAAAATGGCCAATCGATTCCCTTGTATGTTGCTATTCAAAATAGAATGCACTTCCTCCAAGCTTCTTGAATGAACTCCAAAAGTAACCTGTTTGTAATAAACAAATCTTTTCCCTGAAACAGTTAGGAAACACTGGTTAACAACCAAGTTATAATCTGGAATTGAACTATATCCCAGAACTTTACCCCAGACCAACCTATCATCATTCACTTGTGTCCTACGAAACTCTCCAGAGATGATATCTTGGAATAAAAACAAAAGTGGAAAACACCCTTAGCATCCAGTGGCCTGTTAAACAAAGGATCCAGCTTGATGAATTTTCTCAAACCCCCCCTGGGTCTTGTTAACCGAGTTCAATCCCTGGTAGCTACGAACTGATAGTAAATCTTTCACCTCACCACCTTTTTTAGTTTGGCTGGAAATTTAGATCTAGGTCTTTCAATAGCAGTCTCAGCTAAGTTTGTTTTTAGAGTTGGCAAAGGTTGTCCTAATATTGCGATGTGGAGTTCTTTTAAAATAAAAACGGGTATCCACGTTCAAAAGGAGAGACAGAAGGCTGCACCTTTTTCAATTGCCTCCTGATGCTGTACCCTTTTCCAAATGCTCACCGGTATTGTCACTGTCCATCTGCCCCTCCCTGGGTTTTGACATGCACCCAGTGGGAACAGTACAGCATTATTCATGTTCTCCGGTTGTTTTTTCCACAAAGCCCATGGATTATAAACATATATATTCCCAAAAACTGAGGCCCCGTATTCTTCGGTATAGTACTATGGGATCTTTTGAATTTTGAAAGGGCTTCAGTTTAACATCTCTCTAGAAATGTGGTACTTCTGACAATGCAGCATAACCTCAATGGTACATTAGGAACACTAATGTAGATTTTGTATCCTAGTCTCTGAAGGACGCTTGAACTCCTAATCTTCTGCTTTGGAGATTAGTATCCACTGAGTTATGATGTCACAACAGTGAATGAATGAGTACAAAGTTATGCAATGTCTATCCACTGGCCTAGTCCTGACGCCTTATCAGAGATGATTGTGCAGTACAAGTGAACAACGACAGGGATAACTTTCTTCAGCAATAAGCAGATAGTGAAACCAAAGATTTCCTTCTCAAAATCTCATCTTGCAATCTGAAACATTTCAAATGTGGTTTTGATTGAGTTATAACTATGAATTATTCAGTCCACTAATTTTGTGACTTGATAATTTATAACAGTTAAATTAAAGGATATGATCTCATTCTACATTTTTGGCAAATGCGCAATAATGTTAATTTGCAGCTGCACTGTACTTTTCCAGATGTTTTAATTTGTTGAATAACATCAGAAATCTACGTAGAAAATTTATGGATTTTCATAAAGCAATGGACACTGAATTTATCCAAAGTACATGTGTGTGCATGGTAAGGCATACATGGATTAGGCAGTGGGGTTGGAATTGGCATCACTCACCTCCATATAACCATTTGCTGCTAGTTGTTACCTTTTTATGGGCCTGATTTTAATAAACTATAGGTTTCCAGTACAAACATCAAAATCCTCTCACTATGTGCTGGTTAATGCCTCTTGTATAACACATGGATCATTTTAGGCAAGTGCGTTAGATATGAGAATTTATACCCCACATTGCCATTTCAAGACTTCTTTTCAAACTTCATGAACCTATCTGCTGGTTAAACCCCACCATGACTACAATATAGGAACATTATCTACTACTTTATTTGTCAATCTTGATTGGAGTAGTCTCTCTACACCACACTACCAACAATTCAGTGATTAGGAGCTATCCTATTCTAAGTGCTTGGTGGCAACTGCATTGAAATACTTTTCAATACGAGCCAATTGAATCTGCCCAGGACCCTTCCAGCCAGCAGATAAACAACAATCTCCATTTGTGATATAACCAGGTGTAGAGCTGGACGAACACAGCAGGCCAAGCAGCATCAGAGGAGCAGGAAAGCTGACGTTTTGCTGCTTGGCCTGCTGTGTTCATCCAGCTCTACACCTGGTTATATCAGATTCTCCAGCATCGGCAGTTCCTACTATCTCTGTAACAATCTCCATTTGTGACTTCTTTTTCGATAAAGTATAACATCCCAAGATGCTTCATAGAAACATTATAAAAACAAAATTTGACACCAATTCATGGGGGTCAAATGTCCAAAACCTGGTCAAGAGGCATGTTTTAATGCTTATCATTAAAGAGGAAAATGACAGGTGTAGGCAACTTTGAGTCTTTGGCAGCTGAAGGCATGGCCACTTCTGGTGAAATAATTCAAACTGGGGATCCTCAAGAGACCAGAGTCAGAAGGATAGAGACCTGAAAGGGTGGGGATCTGGAGGAGACCACATGGAGACATTAGAAAATGAAGGTGAGAATTCCAAAGTCCAGACATTGCTTGACTGGAAGCTAACTGTAGAGCTGCAAGCACAGGATGAAAGGTGAACAGGATTTAATGTGAGTTAAGACACTGGCAGAAGAGGTTTGGATGACCCTGAGATTACGCAGGGTAGAATGTGAGAGACTGGATAGGAATATGTTGAAATAGTCAAGACTAGAGGTATGAATGTTTGCTGAAACCCTTAATGAACTAAGATGTGTGATGGCGAGGTGAAAATTGGCAATCTTAGTGATTTAATGACCTAATAATCTCCCAAATATTAAGGTTGGGAGGTCATCACAAATGTGACAACAGACTGTGTTGTCGGGGAGAGGGATGGAGGCTGTGTAGCTCGGAAGCGATTTGAAGACAGGGTTGAAGATGACTGTTTTAGACTGGAGGGGATTTTGGTTCCATTGTGGATTTGTAAAAGTTCAGAACGTAACAGATTAGATCAGACTCGGGTGGATATTGGCAGGCTGTGCTTACACAGGTTTAAGACTGACTTCACTTATTTTAAAAACACATTCGGGGTGATTTTTTTTTAAAACAAACAATGCTTCAAGTTAGAGGTGAATGTAGGCCCAGTGTACGGAAGGAAATTAGCGCTCTTGTGGCATCATTGTACTATCCCTACCTCTGGGGCAGGAGGTCCGGGTTCAAGTTCCACCTGCTCCAGAGTTATCATAGAATATCTGAGTAGGTTATTTGAAAATGTCTATGAAGAAATGCTGCGCGATAAGGATCGCACATGCACACCCTGCTGGCCAAACAGGATGTTGATAACGGGGATTCAGTTATTGTGATGCCATTGAATCTCAGTGGGAGAGATGGTTAGATCCTTTCTATTTGGAGATGGTCATTGCCCAGCAACTTGTGTGGCACAGATGTTACTTGCCACTATTGCTCCAAGCCTAAATGTTGTCTGGGTCTTGTTGCAGATGGACACAGTATCTAAGGCAACACAAATGGTGCTGAACATTAGTGCAATCATCTGCAAACGCCCCGCCCTGACCTCGTGGAGGGAAAGTTTGACGCAGTTGAAGCTGGTTGGGATGAGGATTAGAATCTTGTTGAGACAGACAGCAGAGCTAACCAACCTATAAATTAGCCATTTGATTTTATTTTAAAACAAAGGCTTTGCTAGTTTTTTAAGTTGGAGAATTCAACATAAACTAGAAGGGGGCTAAATGGGTTATACAAGTCCGCAGTTCATACCATGCAGCAGACAAGCCATATGTAGTTGTGCTACAAGATTGGTACCTACTTAGCCAAGTTCTTAAAAATAGATTTGCACTTTTGTACACGTTGGGCCAGCATAACATTAAAGATATCTTTGTTCTCATGCTGGTATAGTCTTTGGATACCTGTTAACCAGGTTCCATTACAAAGAATAGCATTTTAGCACTGAGAGTGATGGAAATGTTGACACCTCTTGACTTCAACAGCTTTTTAATGTAAATTGACCTCCTTTTCAGAACTGACATTGGAAGATTTTTGGATTAAAGAATAAGAAACCAAGGTGGGCAAATGGAGTTCGAGTCAGCTATTATCTAATTTAAAAGCAGAATAAGCTTGACCTGAATAGCTTCCTGTTACTATGCTCCTAACTCCTTAAGCTATTGCTTGATAATCTGCTTCTTAAATCCCAGTGCCACGTGGGATGGAGGAAATATTCTTTTGAAAGAAAAAAGTGTAATGTGTTGTAGTTCCCACTAATAAATTAGATACAACTTCATGGAAGCTTTAATCTCTTTTTCAGATCGTGACTGGGCATCTTACACTCTTGGAATTTTTATCTGTTTAAATTGCTCAGGAATTCATCGAAACATCCCTCAAGTCAGCAAAGTGAAATCTGTTCGGTTAGATGCCTGGGAGGATGATGAAGTTAAGGTAGGTGTTTTTGAGCTGAAATGTTTGCACAGATTCTGTCTGACGGTTTGGGAATTCAGCTTCTTGAAATAAATTATCAAGTTTTGAGCACAACATTTATTGGAGCTTATCAACATCACATGAATTATGATCTGAATTCTAATATATACATATTTTAGTCTTGCTGAGCAAACGATGCAAACAAATTTTACCTGTCCACGTACGACCCATGTTTATCTCGTACTATTTTAACCAGGCTGCCTACGGCAGCAGAGTAATGGTTTAGGAATAAACCAGCCATGTTTCTGACCATAAGCCTATGGAAAATGCACAAAGTGAGAAATTAAGTGTGAATGTTGATCAAAAGTGACTGCTCAATTCTTGAACATATTCAAGACAGAGCTGGATAGAGTTTGGGTACTAAATGTATTAAAGGATATAGGGATAGTGCAGGAAGGTGAAGTTAAATTTAAGTTCAATCAGATCTTACTGAATGACAGAACAAGGTCAAAAGATCAAATGTCCTCCCCCATTCTTATTTTATAATTTATTTTATTTTAAAAGACCTCCTATTCATTCTTGCTTTATATAAACAGTAAGGATTGAACATAAGGATTTCAAACCAGGGTTGTTCATGTGTGCCAATCTGGATGTAACGTCCTGAACAGGGAGCCTGACCCCTCTCTATATATCTGGGGTTGCCAACCCTCCAGGATTTCCCATGAATCTACAGCAATTAAAGACCAATCATCCAGGGCACAGCTGCAAGCAATGTAGGCAAAACATTGTTGAGGCAACTGAGTATTTTTCAAAACATGAATGGGGTAGCACAGTGGCTTGGTGGTTAGCACTGCTGCCTCAGCCAGGGGAATAAGTTTGATTCCACCCTCTGGTGGGTGACTGTGGGGAGTTTGCACATTCTCGGTGTCTGCATGGGTTTCCTCCAGGAGCTCTGGTTTCCTCCCACAGTCCAAAGATGCGCAGGTTAGGTGGATTGGCCATGGTAAATTGCCCAGCTTTCAGGGAAATGCAGAGGTAGGGGGATGGGGTAGGGGAATGAGTCTGGGTGGGATAATTTTTGGAGGGTCAGTGTGGACTCGATAGGCCAAATGGCCTGTTTCCACACCATAGTGATTCTATGAATGCTTTTGCTTCTTGTTAATATGATGAAAGTTACATGAATTACATATTTTTAAAATCACTTGTGTTAAGTTTGTATCTTTTTCGGATTTTGAAATAGTGACATGTTTTGTGTCTGAACTAATTAATAATTGTGTTTCGGTAGCCATGGTGACTTTTTTAAAAAGTAGTTTGAGGGCTAGTCTTTTCATAAATAATGGGTTTTCACTTAACTCCGGGTTTGACCTAGCAAGGTAAATAATTGTGCCTCCAAGGCTTGTTAGAATTAAGTCGACAAATTTCTTTAAGCTTGGGTGAACACACATAGCTCAATTTTTTTTTTTTATGTCCAGTTCTTTGGGTAGTTCTGTAATGGTTTTAATGTGTAAGGTTGCTTCTGAGAAAGGGAGAAGAAAGTTGGATTTGTTAACACTGGACCTTTTTGGAGTAACCTAGAGTTGACCTTGGAATAAGGCGTTTTTGATAGCTGCAGACCAGAAGTGTTAGGATAAAACCCTGAAGTGGTTATTTGAGGCTGGGAATATCTACGCTCAGGTACGTGATGGCTCTACAAGAAGCTATCAGATTTTCCAAACTGGGAGTTGAAGTCCAATTAAACCCCTCTGAGATGTGAGTAAAGGATTTTCTGGTTTGAGTACTGCACAAGGGATGCTTTGGGTACTGTGCAAGGGTGTTTTAGGATCTGTAAAGGAGTTTGTGGGATTATTAGGATTGTATTTCACTGTTTAAAAACCTCTAAGTTTATCATGTAAGTAATTAGCCTGATTGATCTATTTTATCTTTCCTTTTGTTGAATACATTTCAAACATTAAAACTAAATCTGCAACTTTACATGCTTATGTTTCAATGAGACCACCTTGTTAACATCAAAGTAAAATGTGATCTATTGAGCCAGATTTCCATCTGGGATCTGACTTGTGTAGAAATAACCTCCATTGCAATCATAACTTTTCATTATGACAAGTTGATTGAAGAAAAGGCTTTTTGCTAACGGTTAATAATGAACCCATTGGGTCACGAAGCAACTGTTTGCTTTCCAATTGACCATGTGAAGGTAGGCCACTGGAAGGATGGATGTGTTGATGTGCTATGGCAGGAGTGTGGGATTGGGTTGTTTAAAGGCCAGAAATCATGTGAAGGCATCTCTGGGAATACACCCAGCCAGAATTGGCAACCTTAATACCACTAGGCCATCACCTTACCTCATCAGTTTATCACTAGACTATTAATCCAGAGATCTCTGAAGTTCTGGGGACCCAAGTTCGAATCTTGTCATGGCAGATGGTGGAATTTGAATTTAATAAGTCTGGAATTAAGTGTCTAATCATTTTTTTTATAAAACCAGAATTTTTTTGTCAAAAAAAATCTAGCTGGTTCACTAATGCCCTGTTCTTTTAGGGAATGAAAGTGCTGTCTGTATCTAGTTGGGCCTACTTGTGACTCCAGATCCACAGCACTGTGGTTGACTCCTAATTGTTGGGTAGTAAAAATGCTGGCCTGGTCTGTGACATCCACATCTTGTGAATGAAAAGAAAATGTGGCTCTCTCACTGACCTGTTCAAAGGGCACATTCCATAGCTGGGCATGTTGGGTATGATTGTACAGTGGTTTGTCACTGTAATAGTAATCCAGGGGCATGACCAAATCCCACTATACCAGCTATGTAATTTTAATTCAATTAACTAAATCTGAAATAAAAAGCTAAAAAACTACCATAATTTCAGGAGTTTTATCATTTAAAAACTTGTACAGCGTAGTCCCTTTAGAAAAGGACAATAAATTTTCTTTTCAACCAATCTGGTCTGTGTGTGACTCCCAGATACAGGACAGTGTGATTTAGTCCTAAATTGTCCTTTTTGATCTAGGTCAGGTCATCTGCAAGAAGGCAGCTCACCACAATCAATTTGGAATTAAGAACAGGGTACTAAATTACCATCCCCGCAAATAAAAAGAACTGTTTGCTCATCAGTTTTCCTGACTGTATGATATTTCAATTGTAACAACATGAGCAAATGGGGGAAGGGTGGGGTGTGGAATCAATAAGTCATTAGACCTTCAGAACCCAAATGAAAATCAACTGATTCAAAATTCTCTGCTGTTTTCTCTTTTGTAGTTTATGGCCTCTAATGGGAACAGTGCAACCAAAGCAAAATATGAGTCGAAGTTGCCGGCATTTTATTATAGACCAACGTTTACAGATTGTCAGTAAGTAAAGCAGTCAATAAGTAAAATGTATCCCTTGGCTGATCTGGTTGCATAATATCAGCAAAATGGAGTATTTCATCAGGTCTTCAGTGGTTTATGCCTTTTGGATAAGGCATTCAAACTAATGCCCTATCTACCTCCATCAGGTGGACTGAAAGGCACCATGGACGTGGTAAAACTCCCTTGCTCCTCTTTGAAACAAGTGTCCTGACCAATATTTATCTCCTCTTCATCAGGCAAAAGATTATCTGCTGATTCTATCATACCGTTTCTGGGACCTTGTGTATAAACTGGCATACATTTACATTACAGGAGTGACTAGACATGATGTTTCCTGATTTGGCTTTTAAAGCACTTAAGGATGTCTTGATGTCATGAAAGGTGCCATCTAAATATAAGCACTTTCTTTGTAAATTCCCTAAACATTCATTTGTACCAAGAGTGAATTGATAAAGAGCATGTTCAGCTCATCAAAGATCTCTTGCATAAAGAGCTTCCTATTGATTGTTGGACATGTAACAGTGCTTTGCTACAAATGCAAAGACTTAATAGATTTAGTTGTCATCAGACTTGCAACCTTCCTTTGCCCTGTGGCTTTCAAAAGTATGTTCCCAATCTTATTTTTACTCAATTGTCTTAATTATAAGAATGCAGTGCAAGGATTGCTTCAAAAGGTTTTCTGTCAAGTTTTTCATTTACATGTTTCCCCTGCCTCCCCAATTAAAGGTACTGACCAGTGTGGTATTGTACAGAGCAGAAAATTCCCAAGTTCAGTCCCTGGACTGTGGTGTGTGAGCTGACCACAGCAGTGGTGAATGTGATGCTTCCATTGGTTTTAAAATTATCTGTTCCCAATCAATGTCACTAAATGGTGGGGAAATTGTAGAAGAATCCATTTCTGTCACCATTTATGGGTTTGGGGTCATGTTTTCTTCCTGGTGTGGGTATGTCCTCATCTAAAACTCTGCACATATCCTAACTCCCAAGTCCCATGCACCTAGCTTCCCTATATTCACTGATCTATACTAGTAACACCTTGATTTTTAACACATCCTTGTTTTACAATCTCTTGTATTTTCCTATCCCTGTAATCTCCTTTCAGCCTCACAATCAAGTTTACCTAATTCTAGGCTCTGGAGCATCTCTGGTTTTAGTTGCTCCATTTGTTAGTGACTGTACCTCCAGCTGTCTGGGCCCTGAGCTCTGGAATTTCCTCTCTAACCCTCTCTACCTCCCTTTTTTTGAAAGATGCTCCTTAAAACCTATGCCTTTAACCAAACTCTTTTGGTCATGTGTTCTAATGTCTGTTTGTGTGACTTGGTGTCAATTTTTGCTTCACAAGGACCCGATGAAGTGTTGTGTGACACTTTTTTTTTCTTTCCTAAATTGCTATTTAAATATAAGCTGTAAAAATAGATTACTATATTGTTTGTATATTTCTTTGGCCTGACTCTTGTGTGTGTTCCTAATATATTCATTTTAGTTGTACCTATGCCTTTTGTTCACACAGGTGCTATTCTCCCCAGTTTAGGCTGTTTGTCTGTAAGAATGAGTTGCTACATTGGTGAAATACCTGCTTTTATTTCAAACTGTCGAGAGGAGAATAATATAAATGGGGTCTTCTTTAGACTGTAATTATTCTAGTGTGCTCGTCCTACCTCTCTAGGATTTTTCTAGGTTTTGAATAACAGATGAAAATATAATATCCCCCTCCCATCCCAGGATGTTGAGTTTCTGGATCGACCTGGGTTATTCTGTTTAAATACAAAGACACCAGTTAAAACAAATTCAGCAACTCTTATTCATCTTACCAATGTATTACATAAACCATAGCAGCAATAGCTACCAACAAGTCCAAGTGATATGAAATAAAAACAGTAATTGCTCGAAAAACTCAGCAAGTCCAGTAGCCTCTGTGGAGAGAAAGAAAAGCTAACATTTTTGGGTGTAGTGACCCTCCTTCAGAACTCATTGTAGCTAGGAAAAGGTTGGTGATATGCTGAAGGTGGCAAGAGGAGAAGAGTGAATGGTAGGTGGAGATAGAGCCCAGAGGGACAGAACAGCAGTTGGGCATACAAAGGAATGGGTAATGGTCAGCCTGGGGGAATTAATAGCTGTTAATGGAGGTGCCAATCCATTGTCAACTATTAATGGTCCTCTTTTGTCAGTTGTCCTAAACTTGTGTGCCTCAGGTTAACAGAACAGAAATTGGCACTTTCTTGCAGTGCCTCATAACAGTCAGTTGTAGCTGTATTAATTCTTGTTGCCTGGACTTGTGCTTTATGGCATTGTGACTGACAGTGATAACATGCCTTCATATGATTCAACAGTTTCAGGAGATGATAGGAGAAACTGGTTGAGGATAAATATATCTGGGCACAGTAGAGTGACCTTTTCAAGTCGGAGTAGATCTCTAACATTTCATAAGAAGCACATTCCTGGTCACCTTATCGCATTTTCTCTGATGTGCAGTGTGCATGATCTCACTCACTACTTCATGTTTTATGGGGCACACTCTCTTTTATGTGTAATATTCCCAAGTTCAGGGTCCAGATAGGTAAAGGCATGGCCAATGGTGAAGTGTTGAAAATTTGGGATGCACAAGAATCCGGAATTGGAGACTGGAGATGCTGCGTTGAGATCCTGCCCTTTGGATCATTAGGACTGATGCCCTGACAGCGAGATGCAAAAGATTCCATGACGCTGTTTGGAGGAAGAAATAAGGGAGTTTTCCTTGCGGTCCAAATCAACATTGACATTACTAACGTGACAGATTATCAGGTCATTTATCTGATCTCCATTTGTGGAAGAATGCTGTATTGATGTTGACTTCCACAATTCTGACAATGATTCCTTCAGAAGTGACTAGAAAGCATTATAGGATGTTTTTGAAGTTGTGAAAAGTACAATATAAATGACGTTGTTGTTTTTTTTTTGTTTTGATGGTTGTCCTTTCTCCCACACATTGATGGCATCACCTTGGCAATGGCACACATCTAAACTTGTGAATTTGTGCAGAGGTTGAAATGTATTTCAGTCAAGACATGTTCAGTCAATTACTTGGAACATGGGAACCTCCATATGAAATGCTTTATCCCATATAAATGCATTTCCTGATGATGATTGTTCTGGGTGATGGGTGGTAAATCACATGAGGCCTAATGGGAGTGCTTTACACTAACAACATCTGCCTCTGATTAGCATGGTGCTGGGTTTCAGTATGGAATGAAATACTGCCATGAGACTCTGTTTATGTGACGGGGTGTTGAAAGAGGAAGTGGTAGAGAATTGTTTATTATGCATTGTTCTGTCTGAGGAAACAGTCACAGTTTCATTATTATTGATGTGAAGCCAAGTAGTGCTTGAGATGTATTGTGTGAGATGCTGTGCCAGGTTCAGCAAAGCCAAGCTTGTCAATTTTAACTTAATTCTCCAGTGTTCATTGGAAACTAGAACACAACCTGGGTGGCAAGATAATGCTGCTTTTGCCTTGTCTGGTCAGAGATTTTATTCTTTGATAATTTATTTCCTTGTGGTTAGGTGATGTAGTCCAACTCATTACCTGGACTGTTCTGGCATTTAATTAACACCAGACCATTTCCTGCACAAATTTTTTTTTTTTAGAAAAACAGCCTGGGTGCATCAGGTCAAAGGTTTTGAAGCATTGGTAAGAAAGTTTAGTTCAATGCAACCTCTTGTGGTCCCCAAACCCCATATTTCTCAATATTTCCTTTGCAAAGTCCTCATGGGATATTGAATGGTGTGCTTTTTCAGAGTGCAAGAAAAATTTCACAGGGGTTCATGACTTGAAGAGGCATTTCACTGGACAGTAACTTGCTGGATAGAGAGCTTAAGTTGCCATGCAGTTTTCAAGAAAATTATGTGGATTCTCTTTTAGGATGCAAATCAAGTGCATCGTGATGATGTGAAATTAAATGTATGGCACAGAAGGTGGTCAAGATTGAACAAAACTGGCCTCTTTTTCAATATTATAAGTTCAAAGGTGCTTCCTGAGTGCATCATAAAATAAATATGCTGTGTTATTTGAGGACATATTAAGCCAAATGACCAGCAGCTTGGCTAAAGCAACAGACTTGGAGTGTCTGAATGGAGGAGTGGGAGTCCTGTTGATTTTCTCATGACAGGAAGTTGTTCAACAACGTCCCTCATGGATGTCAAAAATAATTGAATAGTTCACATCAGTGATGATACTCGGCCTACTTTTATCACTTCCTTTAAAGTTGTAGAAATTCCTGCATGTTATATTAGAAAAAGAATGTGATTTTGTTTTCTGTTTAAACTGCTTTCCAAACTGTCTAAGACAAAAGACCATTTTTAAAAAAAAAACTTCAAATGAGCCTCAGTTAGTGAAATCAAGGCAGTAAGTGAATCCTAAACAGACGGCAAACAAGGAGCACAAACTCATCAACTCCTGCACTCTGTTGAAACCACTCAATACAGCCTTATGGAAAGGAAACTTGAACCCAAAGCTCCATTTTCAAATAAAAACATCCGTTATGGAATTGGAAACACTCATGGGTCAGACATTACCAATGTCACTTTTAATTATTTCCTGTTAGCATCTTTATTACTGTGCAGCTAACTTTTATGTTTCATCTGGCATTTTCATCAGCATGACCCTATTGTATAAGCTCATTACCAACCCAAAGTTAAACCACTGCAGTCTAGCTTTTTTTTGCTGTTAACACGTTTTACTTTATTTGCCAATATCTGAAATTCATGTCTCCAATTTTTTTCTGATCATGATATCTGAGCTGATGCTAAAATGTATATTTTAATGATTTGTTTCCAATTCCCCTTCTCTTCCAAGCTGAGCTGCCAAAGCATTCTGTTTCTGTAATATTACAGAATCCCTGAGATTTTAACAATGGTCAAATATTAGGTGGGTGGAAACACTCATGTATTATAGGTTCAATGCAGGGGCTCTTAAGTGCTTCCCTTGCTGTAGCTTTACATAAGTGACACTTTCAGTCAATGCAGGAGCTTAAATAACCATCATCCTCCTACATCCACCTTGAATCCTGAATTCCATTACAATTTTGAAAGACTGGAAAGTTCAGGTTGAGTGAATGGCAGAGTATAATGAAATGGACAAGCCATTGGCCACAAAAGCAGGTCAGAGGCTGGTGTTCCACTGTGAGTAACTCGACCCTGGTCTTGCCACAACGTGTCTACCAACTACAAGCACAAGTCAGAAATGAGATGGAATACTCTCCACTTGCCAGGATGAGTGCAGCTCCAGCAACCTGCTTGAAGCTTGGGACAAAGCAGTCCACTCGATTGGCACCCCATCCACCACCTTCAACATTCACTCCCTCCAGTGCCAATGCACAGTGGCAGTAGTGTACAACAAGATGTACTGCAGTAGCTCACCAGGGTCTCTGACAGCACCTTGCAAATCCGTTGCCTCCATCACTTAGAAGGAAAAGGGCAGGAGATGCATGGGAACACCCATCACCTACAAATTCCCCTCCAAACTACAGGCCATCCTAGATTGGATTATTCCTTCACACTGTGTTCAAGTCCTGGAACTCCATTCTTCACAGCACTGGGTGTCCCTACACCCCAAAGACTGCAGTAATTTGGATGAGTAATAAACGCAGGCCATTCCGAAGTGTTGCCAACCCATTAACAAACTTTTAAAAGCAAAGATAACAGTGTGGAGCTGGAGGAACACAGGAGACCAGGCAGCATCAGAGCAGCAGGAAAGTTGACGTTTCGGGTCGGGATTTTCTGAAGAAGGGTCTGATGCTGCCTGGCCTGCTGTGTTCCTCCAGCTCCACACTGTGTTATCTCAGACTCCAGCATCGGCAGTCCTTGCTATCTCTTTTCAAAAGCAAATATTGCCAGTCAAAAGTTGTACAGAAATTCATACAGATTAGAAAGAGGTGGTTACAAATAGCACAAATCTGCTGCAAGTAGAAAACTGATATATTGGCACAATTATTTACCAATCATACTGAACAATGAAGTCCTCAGCAACTCCTCCTTTTTTCAATTCTGACACCTGGTTCCTTGCTTTTCAGAGTACTTCGGGAACAGTGGATCCGTGCCAAATATGAAAGAAAGGAATTTGTCTGCATTGAGAAACAAGAGCCTTACTCTGCAGGTAGGAAAGTCCTTTGATCTTTCAACATAATAGGATACATTAAACACCAAAATTATTTCTGCCCCCTTTGAACTGGGATTGGATCTATGGGTATTTGAGCTTCTGGAGAACACAATATTCCTGATGTGTCAGGGTATGGGACAGTTCCTCTGCAACCCCATGTCTAGATTTATGTATAAATACACTCGCACTCATACCAGAACTTCCAAGAGTATCATTCCAGCATCTTGTTCAGAAATGGTCTTCACCTACAACAGTGTGAAAGAAGCAAGTGTGACTACAGATAACAAGGTGCAGAGCTGGATGAACACAGCAGGCCAAGCAGCATCATAGGAGCCGAAAGGCTGACGTTTCGGGCCTAGACCCTTCA